GGGACAACCTGGCTCCAGAAAACTGTGCTGTGGTACCTCCAAGTTAGAGTATTGCAATATACCCTAGTCGGGGATACCCTTGGAGAGACTGTTCAGAAGCTGCAGATTCTGCAAAATTCTGCAGTCAGAGGGTTGCAACGTAGGAAACCAATTCTGTCCCACCTGGATTTTCTGCTTGTATGCTTCTGAGGCCAATTAATGGTGCTGGTTTTAACCTTTAAACTATATGGCTTGCAACCAGAGTAGCTGTTGGAGCACTCCTTCCAGCCTAAACCTATACAGACCTCTGAGTGCCACCACTGAGGGAAGTGTGCATAGTGCCAACAAGGAAGGGAATAGTCCCACAATTATGGAACCATCCCCCAGTTGGCATCCACTGTGCTTTACTTTCATTGCCAAGTTAAGACGGCCCTCTCTGCCTTTAATAACCTTAACTGGCAGATTGGAGACAGGGGGCAATATCAGTATGCCACCCCGACCTGGAGGTGAGGGAGTCTGTTGCCTGCTGGGCGCACACATCTGGCATGTGAAGGATAGAGTGGAACATCTTGTTTGCTCCGGGGATCACCAGCCACTTCTGGTGATCCATGTGGGCACAAATGAGGTAGCCAAGCAGCGTGTGGGTGGGATCACCAGGGACTTCAAGGCTTTGGGGAAGAAACTCAGGGACCTTAAGGCCCAAGTGGCCTTCTCATCTATCTTACCGGTCCGGGGATTTGGGCCAGACAGGGATAGGAGGATCGCCGACGTGAATGACTGGCTTAGGGTGTGGTGTCAGAAGGAACGCTTCGGGTTCCTCGACCACGGCACCCGGTTTCTTGCCAATGGACTTCTGGCAAGGGACAGGTTGCGCCTCACGAGGATGGGGAAAAGGTCCTTTGGAGATGCTCTAGCAAGCTTCATCTGGAAGACTTTAAACTGAGCTGGGGGGGGACAGTTCAGGCCCCCCAGAAACGTCCACACTGGACAAGTGTGGGGAGAGGATCAGGACTCTGGGAGCAGGGTTTCAGAGGTACTGCAGGGACTGACAGGACTCCTACAAAGAGAGGGCAGGTATCAGTGAAGATGGGAGGAAGGAGGAGACTGGGGACTCCAAAGAAAGGAAGCGGTGGGAAGCAGTTGGGGTGCATGTACACCAATGCTAGGAGCATGGGTAATAAGCAGGAAGAGCTTGAAGCACTCCTGGGAATAACACGGTATGACCTGGTGGGAATCACAGAAACTTGGTGGGATGAAAGGTAAGACTGGAATGTAAACATAGAGGGGTATCACCTGTTTAGAAAGGACAGGAAGGGAAAGGGGTGGGGGCATAGCTTTATATGTCAGGGAAGGGATAGGATGCAGTGAGATAGAATGCAGCACACATGGGGATTCGGTAGAGGCAGTGTGGGTGAAACTTAGGGGTTTTGACAGGGAAAGGGACCTGACAGTGGGGGTATGTTATCGCCCTCCAGGTCAACTTGAAACAACATGGTTTCCACAAAAACAGGTCCTGCCAAACAAACCTTGTGGAATTCTATGACAAGGTTTCGAGATGGCAAGATGGAGGGGATGCAGTGGATGTGGTTTACCTGGATTTCAGCAAAGTGCCCCATGATATCCTGGTTGAGAAACCGAGGAGTTTTGGGATGCACCAAAGCACTGTCCGGTGGATTAGGGCATGGTTGACTGACCGAAAGCAGAGGGTAACCATTACTGGGGAATCTTCAGGATGGCAGTCAGTGACAAGCAGGGTCCCCCAGGGCTCTGTCTTGGGGCCAATCCTGTTTAATCTTTTCATCAGGGACATGGAAGAAGGGTGAACAGTCTGCTGATCAAATTCGCAGACAACACTAAAACTGGAGCAGTGGCCACAACTGAGGAGCAGGTACTCCAGATGCAACAGATCTGGACAGACTATGGAAGTGGGCAGGAGACAACAGGATGGCGTTCAATGTGGATAAGTTCAAGGTCTTGCACTTGGGGCATAGGAATAGGTGTCATGGGTACAGGTTAGGGGACAAGTGGCTGGAGAGCTGTACTTGTGAAAGGGACCTCGGGGTGCTGGTTGACTGCAGGCTGAACATGAGTCAGCAGTGTGATGCGGTGCTTAAGATGGCGAACACCACCCTTGGTTCATAGTCAGAAGTGTGGCTTCTAGATCGAGAGAAGTATTACTACCACTCTATATGACTCTGGAGTGCCCGCAACTGGAATATTGTGTTCAGTTTTGGGCCCCTCATTACAGAAAGAATATAGCCAGGTTAGAGTCAGTGTAGCGTAGGGCCACAAGATTAGTGGCCGGTTTGCAGGCGATGGGGTATGAGGCAAGAGTGAGGGAACTGGGTCTCTTCAGCCTGGAGAAGAGGACACTCAGAAGGGATCTGTTGGTGACATACAGGTATGTGAGGAGATGTCACACAGAGGTGGGTAGAGACCTGTTCTCCCCTGCAGAGGCAGGCAGGACACGCTCCAACAGAGCAAAGCTCAGGGAACCAGAGTTCCATTTACATGCCAGAAGCACTTCCTGACAGTCAGGACCCCGATGGTGAGGAATGGGCTTACACGGGAGGTGGTTGAGGCCCCATTGGTGAGGGTGTTCAAAGATAGGCTGGACATGCACATGGTGGGCATGTCATGAGCAGAGCCGGCTGGAGCCGGGGGTCATACTAGATGGCCCGGTAGGCCCCTTCTGACTTGCTCTGTTTCTATGTTCCTATTTGCTCTTTCTTTTAATGTTGAATTTGCTCTGGGTGTTCTGATTGCTTTAAGTTCAGTTTTACATCTTGTTTTGTAATTCTATGTTGTTTTTATTGTATTGTACATACTTTTGTTAACCTTCCAAATAACTTTGGCTATTGGTTGGTATTGAAATTTAATAAATGTTTTTATCAGGGTTAAATACTAGAAAATAGGCATGGTCACTGGTAAATAGAGGGTAATTGGAGATAGGTGTCTACTATTTTGTTATATAATGCCTAGGACTAGAGTGCAACTCCTGTATCTTGTTTACTTCTTATAATAAGAAAGAGGGAATCCTTACTATAAGTATCACAATTTTAGTTTATTCTGCACTTGTCTGTTTATTTATGTTTTCTCTACTTTCCTTGTGTCTTTCCTTCCATTAGGCTTCCTCTGATCCTGGATCCCCAGTCTCCCTTTGTGTGCTCCTTCCTCCATTTCATCCCCTTTTTGAGTCCCCTTACCCTTCCTACAGCTCATACTTCCCCTCTTTTCTTCCCCCATTTCCATTTTCACTCCTTTCAGTCTCCCCTTCCTCGTCTCCACCAGTTATAGTGCTCCCTTCTATCTTACTTCCTCCCTCTGTTCCACCTCACTTCTTTCATTTGCTTCCCCCATTTCCCCCTTATCTCCACTCCCCTTCTCTTTTCTTTCATTCACCATTTTTACACCTGTCCCCCTTACAGCAGAAGAGCTTTCCTTTGCTAAACATTTCACCTTCACCGGTTCTTCCTCCCTCTCCAACTTCTGCTCCTCAACCCTCTTTTGTTTCCCTTTCTGAACCACCTCAGTCCTCCAAACAACCTTCAGCTTCTGAACAGGAAGCTTCTCATGACTTCAGTGCTTATCATTCCCATAATCCTTTCTTCCTCCCTATACCTCCACCTATCCAGTCCTACAGGAGGTACCAAGCTCGGCAGAAGAACAGTGACAGCATTAAATACCCTTGAAGACAGAAGATACTTTGGTTTCCTTCATTGCCATGGCCCATAAGCAAGGGTTAGACGTTCTGCAGTAGGCCAGGTTCAGGTGCTCATACTTAACATTGGTTCTGAACTGTAGAGTGGATGTTGAGGATGGAATGGATTGTGGTGGAGTTGAGGGGGAATGAGCTTCTGGGTTCAATACAAAATGCATTATGGACTTCGATATTATAACCTTATTCCCCTTTAAGATTGTAAAAGTTGTGCATTAGGTAAGATTATAAGCTCTTCGGAGCAGAGGCAAGTTCTATATTTGCTTCTTCAGTGGGGCTACAGTCCTTATAACTGTATGTTTAATATAACAGAAGCAAAGCCTAAAAGTGGGATTCCAGGCTCTTTACTGAAACAATCCATGTACACAGGGCACATCTATGCTGCAAGTTTTTCTGGCTTCAAGGTGGTTTCTAGGAATTGTAGTTTAGTCAGGGTGCTGTCCCATGCCATTTTCAAGTTTTTCTGAATTGGAATAATGACTGGTAAATAGGCTTAAAGCTAACATAAGCATATAATACAGACATGTCCTCTGTTGTACTCTATGCTCAACTTGACCTATATTAATTTTTAAAGCGCCTAAGCTAGGTCTTGGTGGTACAAGGAGCTTGACCCTTTCTTCTCAACACAATATCTCTCTAGGAATACCCCTCATTTGCTTTGAGCCCAGAAACAGTACTTTTGGGGGCAACTGGCAGTGAGAAAATATGATGAGAAAAGGCTTAACCCCACCCACCCCCTCCTTTCCTGTTTGCTCTAATCTGTATTCAGATTTAGACCCTTCACAGCTGCTTTTCCTGGATAAATAGAGTGCAAAGTGTTGAACATACTTTTTGAAAGGGTTAATTTCATGCTTAATTTGGCCCTTGAGCAGCAATACAATCTGTTTTCAGTAACCTGAGACCCTTTCTTAAAATCTCTAATCATTCATATTTTGGGGGCAGTTGCCCTAAAACAGCAACCTCGGTAATGCTGAAAAAAAAGTATTGTAATCTTGATTTTAAAATGTTCAGTAGCTGAAATATTTGAATTGACTGCAATGGAAAATTAAATTCCATTCTCAGTGCCATTAAAGTGAGTTCCCTATCCTGCTTCAAAGTGCTGCTGATGTGTAACAATGATGAAGTTAAATGCATTTTACACTAAGAAAAGGCTAGAAGAAGGTTGAGAGCCCATGACTGTTAATACACTTCTAGAATATTTCTTATGTGATACATTAATCTGTACTTATATGTTAATTTTCTGCTCCTCAAGTATTGTTACATTGCAGTGATAGCTTGACTTGGTGCTTTCTTTCCTTACAAGGGCAGTGCATTTTTAGAAAGTTACAGCCCTTCCTGTTATGATCCTTTCTTCCTGAAGACTTGCACGGACATTTGGAAGGTAGGTTCTCTGATTATTCTACTAGAAGATTGGTACTGATGGTACTTTTATTAGTTTCTTAACATTGTTAGTCATTGGAGGGTTTGGTTTGGGTCAAAGATCTTTTATATACAGCAAATGCATTACTTGGAGTTTTAGAATTTCATCTGTTGACAACTGAGATAATTTACAAGCGCCTATCAGCAGACTTGATCCTTCTCTTTTCCATCAGACCCTTCATTTTTGCTCTTCTGCACATGTTTCTTGCTGTTAGGTGAATTTCCCATAGTATTAAACATAAATAGCCTTTTCTTAGTTTCTGATAGCTTGACTAGGATGGATTTGAAATTCCGCAGTTCATGGCGCCAGGGAATCTTGGGAAGCAATTCATTTCAAAAGGAGGTGTTTGTCTGCCAGGGTCACTTGAGAGGTTGGGATCTTTTGCTGGGGTTTAATGCACACTGCTAGAGAGAACATGCCCTAACTTTATTTAACACTTTTTTTATACCATCACAATAGCCTCATGGCTCTCTGGACCATTTACATAATAAAAGCATAACAAAGCATAAAAACTACATAAATAAAGCAATTAAAACATCAATACCAATAAACAATAAAACAATACAATATCCCCAACACAGCAGGGGCTCCAAGTAATAGCATATATTAACATAACATATTGGATAAATCTAAAAAAATCACAATTAAAATACCAAATTTACTAGTTAAAATGTCAGTCAGAATTTTAAAAATTTACACCTAACACAGTCAACAATTAAAACAATTACCAACTGGATGTCAAAGCCAGAAGGGACTGCTCTTTTGGACACATGGTCCTCTCTGCAGTTATCCAGTAACAACACCTTCCCACCTCCTGATTTGGTAAGCTTGCTGGTCACCCATATGTGTGATCCTTACCTGTAACTGTTGTTCTTCAAGTGGTCACCTGTGCATTCACACAACCCAACTGCTGGCCCCATGTTGGTGTTGGTGGATGTGTATAATGATAGGACATTTACGGACATGCACATAGGGTTACTGATGGTCTCCAGTTGGACTGAGAAAGTGGTGGGAACCCGCCTACTCAAGTAATGGAAAAGGGAGGAGCTCCTGCCAAAAAGTCTAAGCTTAGCTAGAGGAATCTTCCCAACTGAGGCACCCATATGTGTGAATACACAGATGACCACTCAAAGAACAACAGTTACAGGTAAGCAACCTGCCCTCACTCCCACCAGGTGCAGCTTGCTCTGATGACTCCGCCTGGCTGGGGTGGTTTCCAAGCTGCTCAGAAAACCTGGAATGAATAAATAATGTGTCGACCTTGTCAGCCCAATAGCTGCAGAACACAGTTTTTAAAATTAGTGTTGGGGGATATAATATATCAAATGATATGCATGGTTTTAGTGCACTTTTTGTTGGTTATTGCTGACAAGTAAGTCAGTGTAACCTTTTTCAGTTATACACCATCATGACGGCTTTGTAAGCCATCTGGAGGCTTTTTTAGTAATGGGACAGCATAGAAAAACTTTAAATAAAACAAACAAACAATTGTATGTTTTTGGATGCACCATGGTTGAGAAGACTGATCTTCTATTGCAAGCCAAAGCAATAGGCAGCAGTGGCTGTTTGAAGTATGCTGTAAAATCATGAGATAATGCAGTCATGACATACAACCTGATTAGAGGATTTGACTTCATAAATATGTGGAAGCATTATAATTGGAGAAACCAAATCCTGTTCACTGTTCATGAGCCTTAGTGTTAGTTTTCAGGCACTCTTCACTACATACTATATACATAAAACTTACAGAGTCTTAATCTAAGGAAATCAAGTATTGCAATGGGATTTTGCAATTCAGTAATCTGAATTCTGACTGTGTTTTAATAGGTGTCAGTTCCACCCTTATATGATCCTTTGTTAATGGAGATTCAAGGAAGATACCTCGAGGCTGGCATTACCCAACAGTGTGACACAGGTATTATGTAGTGCTTCTCATGTGCTTTTGTGAAGCATTCTGTATCGCAAATGTAAAGCTTGTTAATTTGGGAGCCCTGGTAAGGGCCCTTCCATTCCATTCCATTCCATTCCATTCCATTCCATTCCATTCCATTCTTCTTTCCCATGCCTCACAAGCTTACAGGTTAGCCTGATTAGTTTTGAAGGATAAGAAGGGTACAGATATTATTTCCAGGGGACTTTCCAAAATATGGCAAAATAGTCATAGCACAAGAAGGGAAGATATCTATAGAAGAGCTGATGTGGCTCTTGATGCTGTCTTCTACTTCATTTCCAAGATAGTCACTTCATCTTATGGAAATGGTCTTGTTCTACATGCTTTCAATTTCCCACAGGAAAAATATACTCCTGCAAAGAGCTGAATGAACTTCATAAGACTGAACTGCCACTGCTTCCTTTGAGTCGGCAGCTTATGAATCCTGTAGAGTGGTTGAAGATTCCACCTGGTTATATAGAGAGTGAAATTCGTCAAAAGAGCCGGTAAAGCTTGATGTGCCCTTTAAAGTGTTTCTTCCACTCCACTTTTCATAAGTGAAATTGCATATATCCACTCAGTATGCTTACTGTGGTGCACATGAATGACTCAACCGGTAAGGTATAAGATAGAATGATTATGTGTTTGTTTTCCTTCATCAGGGGTAACTAGCTTGTCATCTGAAATCTCTGTTACATGAATGACAGAATAATATTGGCAGTATAATTATGATAAGTGGAACTGATCAGCCTAAAATCAGTATTGATTAGGATCTGGCTAAGAATTTGTCCAGTAGTCAGTAAATTACCTATTTATTAATAGGAGTCTGAAAAAAATCTGTGATGCCTCTTGACTGAACACAGAGTGGTGCACTTGTGAAAGAGACTAATTGTCTGGTCCTGTACTTACCTACCCAGAAGTAAACCCCAATTCAGTGTTTACTTCCAGGTAAGTGGGTATAGGGTTGCAAAATTACATAAGGGAATCTTCTTTCTTCTTCATGGCCTCTGTGCATCACACATATGGGGTGCTGTGCCTGCGCAGTGCTGATGACCGGGAGATTGATAGCTAACGGTTTTGGCGGGAAACTCCGCTCCCCTCCCTCCCAGTAGTATATATAGAGCGGAGAGGGGGCACAGTCCGCCATCCGGACTTAGCATCGCTGAAGTTAACAGCCTGGCGGATCCGATGAGACTCGGTACTGATTCGATACTGACAGCAACTAACCTCTCTACGGATCGCCCTCTCAAGCCCAACACTCGGATTGCTGCTTCGAATCCGTTGGCTTCCTCTGCTTCGTTGGATTCAATGGGGTTTCCATTGGGTTCGACAGTTTTCTATCCGGAAATTCAGAGCATTCTTGACTCTGCGTTAAGACCATCAACCCAAAGATCATACGCGGCGAAATGGCAGCGATTCTCTACCTTTGCCGAGTCTCGTTCGTTCCCTTCACATTCTGCATCCATACAGAATATTCTCCAGTTTCTGTTAGAACTACGCCATCTGGGACTTAAACCATCTTCTATAAAAGTGTACACGGCGGCAATTTCTTATTACCGTGGTACAATTCAGGGATCTTCCATTTTTTCTCAACTATTAATAAAAAGATTCCTTAAAGGACTGTAGAACATTCATCCGACAATTAGACCTGTGATGCCTACTTGGAGCCTATCAGTTGTGTTACAGGCACTCACAAAAGCTCCATTTGAGCCTTTAGCAACTGTTGATTTACGCCTTGTTTCTTGGAAGACAGCTTTTCTTGTAGTGGTTACATGGTTACATCAGCTGGAAGAGCTAGTGAACTCTGTGCCCTCAGGGTAGATCCTCCCTATTTGAATTTCCATAGGGAGAAAGTTGTTCTTCACATGGACCCTTTCTTTCTATGGAAGGTGGCTACTTCCTTTCACATGAATCAGGAGATCGTCTTACCTGCCTTTTTTCCGTCACCGTTGAATCCGATTGAGAGATCCTTGCATGCGCTCGATGTAAGGCGCTGCTTAGCCTTTTATAGATCAAGGACTGAAGCTATCCCGTCGCTCCAATCCACTCTTTGTAAAATACCCTGGCCACAATAAAGGTTCTCCTATTACCCCTCAAAGACTTTCCAAATGGATAGTTCATACTATCACTCTGTCTTACCAGTTAGCTAAGTTGGACTTACCTGCAGTTCCGAGAGGTCACTTTACTAGAGCAGTAGCTGCCTCCTCAGCCTTTGCGGCGGGGGTCCCGATTGACAAAGTCTGCAAGGCTGCAGCCTGGGCCACTCTGTGTACATTTGCCAGAAATTATCGTCTGGATGTCTGTGTGAGACAGGATTGCTCCTTTGGAAGGGCCATTCTTTTGGCTGTCCTCCACTGACGACACCTCCCCTCCTCCATCTAGGGTAAGCTTGCTAATCTACCCATGTGTGTGATGCACAGAGGCCACGAAGAAGAAAAGCAGGTTGCTTACCTGTAACTGATGTTCTTCGAGTGGCCATCTGTGCAGTCACACAACCCACCCGCCGGCCCCGGTCGATGCGTGAATCTTGTCATCGGTACCATACTATTTTTTTTTAAATTCACGGTACCCACATCGTATTTTTCTTAGTTTAGATTCTTTACACTAAGGGACGAACATCCGGTCTATCAAAGACTGGAAAATGGCGGCCTCTCCGCTCTATATATACTACTGTGGGGGAGGGGAGGGGAGTTTCCCGCCAAAACCGTTAGCTATCAATCTCTCGGCCATAGGCACTGCGCAGGTGCAGCACCCCATATGTATGACTGCACAGATGGCCACTCGAAGAACATCCATTACAGGTATGCAACCTGCTTTTACAAAAACTCTGTATTTCATTTATTTATTGTACTTAAAACTTGCCTTCTTTTTCCTTCCAAGAAACTCAAGGCAACTTCAATAATTCTTTGCCTCATCTCAGTCTTACCCTCACAACAACTCCCCTATGAGGTTGGTTGGGCTGAGAGTCAGTTGCTGGCCCAGTGTCACCCACTGAGCTCCATGGCTGAGTGGGGACTAGAATTCATGAGTCCCAGTCCCATGCTCTTGACCACTGCACCACAATTTTTCCATGGATGCAGGAGGGCATTTATTTATACCAATCCCTGCCATTGAGGAAGTGTCAGCTTAACAGATGATTGACATGGGATGGTTCCCCCAGTCTGCTAGATAGACCCTGGTTTGCAGGAGCAAAGCAGAGTCTCTGTTTAGCAATATGGAAGTTTACTGTATGACAAATCTTATTTGTTGCTATGTTTAAACGCTGCTCAGCTCTTCTGTTTTGGAAGTCAGAGTGCCTAATTCTGAGGGATATTCCCTATAAAAAATTATGCAGTTCAGAATACTACTGCCAAGGCGTTTGACCTCAGAGAACAAACATGTGGAATAGTTCGTGGCCAGGTTCCAGTCTGCAGGTTTGCCTCAACAAATGCTCTAACACAATTCTTGTATGTGTTTCTGTCCCTCAGCTTGGCTCCAAGGGTTCTTTGAATGATCAAGGAGCAAATGACATCCTAGTAGTAGTTTCAGAGGCTACATTTCTGGCCCCACTAACTATGCCTGCCTGGTACCATAGGTGTCACTAAGATGTCTGGACTCTTAGAAGTATGTATGGCACCACCTGGGAAGCATATTTAATACAGTATATAAGAAAAAGTCCATCATGTGGGAGCACCTTAATCTAATCTATCAGCTGGCTGCTGATAGGAATTGGAGTCCAAAGGCCAATTTTTCTTTTGGTGGAGGGGGAAGAGAGGTGTAATGTCATTGGCCCGGTTTCTCCCCTTCTGGGAAAGTCTTTTCTTCTGACTCCCATTGTAGAGTAAAACCACCTGGTCTGCTTTGACAATGACTGGTACCTAGCATTTTCCCATGTATTGCAGGGACAATGGAACTCCCTAAGCAAAATCTCCACAGCAGCTAGAAAGATCAGTACTGGGAAGCAGGGTGTGACTCAATCAGGTCTTGGTATAATTGGCCTCTGAGGAAGGTGTATAGTTCCTAGTTTTTTTCCCCTTCCTCCTCCTCTTTCTAAGAAGAAAGCTAGGAAAGGTAAACAGCATGAAAATACAAGAAAGGAGGACAAACCAGGAAGGCCAGGAGGCCTGAGACGAACCTGCAGGGACTGGTCTTCACCTAACCCCAGAAACACTCTGACTTGTAAAGCCAAGAAGAGGGTACTTCCCACTGAAAATGATTTGTCCCATGTATCCCTAACACGATAGTTGCATGTTGTTCACACACCATGAATTTCATATTGCTCCACAATCCTAATGTTATAAGCACTAACAAGGGTTTGGTGATGCAAATATGTAATGGAAATGAAATGTCAGAATGTTGGCCAGTTTGTGTCTTACATCTTTTGAGAATCAAGCAGCATGTGCAAGCACAACGGTGTACACTAACCATCCCAATTTTATTCTGTTGAAAGGCAAAAAATGAGCGCAACTAGGAATGTGAGTTCTATGGATTTCAAGAGCTGGGGTGACTCGTCCCAGCTTCCATTGAACAAGAGATGGCCCTCTACTAGGAAATCAGATTTCGCCTGTTTGCCCAGTTTTTTGACAAAACAAATACAAACTGGCCCACCACATAGGAAATCAGCAATAAAATCTGCTTAACAATATATCTTTGAAGTGGATTAATTGTACAAGATATAAATATCTCTCTCTCTCTCTCTCAATTACTGTAATTATTTGGAAGTAATTTGGATATTCAAGCTTTGCTTTAACAACAGACAAATAAGAAAAGTACACTAAGGATAAGCTATGGAGATAACATATTTTAAATGCTATTTTATATCCTGATTGTTTTGGGTGCACTGCAGCTTTGGAAACAGATGGTCCATACTGCCTGGCATTTGAGAAAATATAGAGTACACAGTACTGTTGCCTGCTGCATAATATTCCAGCAGCATAAAGATGAAATAGCTGTAAATCTGTACTTGGTTTATTTCTAAAGAGGCTTTATTAAACTAACAGTTTTCATAGAAACATAGAAACAGAGTGAGTCAGATGGGGCCTGCCGGGCCATCTAGTTTGACCTCCGGCTGCAGCTGGCTCCGCTCATGACATGCCCACCATGTGCAATTCCAGCCTATCTTTGAACACCCTTACCAATGGGGCCTCAACGAGCTCTCGTGGAAGCCCATTCCACACCCTCGGGGTCCTGTCAGGAAGTGCTTCCTGGCATCTAAATTGAATCTGGCTTCCCTGAGGTTTGCTCCGTTGGAGCACGTCCTGCCTTCCTCTGCAGGGGAGAACAGGTCTCTAACCATCGCCATGTGACATCCCCCCCACATACCTGTATGTCACCAACAGATCCCCTCTGAGTCTCCTCTTCTCCAGGCTGAAAAGACCCAGTTCCCTCAGTCTCACCTCATACGGCATCCCCTGCAAACCAGCCACCAACCTTGTGTCCCTACGCTGCACTGACTCTAACCTGGCTATATCCTTCCTGTAATGAGGGGCCCAAAACTGAGCACAATACTCCAGTTGTGGGCACACCAGAGTCGTATAGAGAGGCAGTAATACCTCTCTTGATCTAGAAGACACGCTTCTGGCTATGTAACCAAGGGTGGTGCTTGCCCTCTTGACCACCGCATCATACTGCTGACTCATGATTAGCCTGCAGTCAACCAGCACCCCAAGGTCCCTTTCACAAGTGCTGCTCTCCAGCCACTTGTCCCCTAACCTGTACTTATGACACCTATTCCTATGCCCCAAGTGCAAGACCTTGCACTTACCCACATTGAACTCCTGTCCACTTCCATAGTCTGTCCAGATCCTTTTGGATCTGGAGTACCTGCTCCTCAGTTGTGGCCACTGCTCCAGTTTTAGTATCATCTGCGAATTTGATCAGCAGACTGTTCACCCTTCTTCCACGTCCTTGATGAAAAGATTAAACAGGATCGGCCCCAGGACAGAGCCCTGGGGGGACCCCGCTTGTCACTGGCCACTAGCCCAATGATTCCCCACTAATGGTTACCCTCTGCTTTCGGTCAGTCAACCATGTCCTAATCCACCGGAAAGTGCTTTGGTGTATCCCCAAAATTCCTCAGTTTCTCAACCAGGATATCATGGGGCACTTTGTCAAAGGACTTGGTGAAATCCAGGTAAACCACATCCACTGCAACTCCTCCAGCTAGCCACCTCGAAACCTTGTTGTAGAATTCCAGAAGGTTTGTTTGGCAGGACCTGTTTTTGCAGAAGCCAGGTTGTGTGGCTGCCAGCCTCCCTTCCCTAACTAGTGTCACTAGATCTCTCTCTATTATGAGCCTTTCCATTGTTTTTCCTACAATGGACGTAAGGCTAACAGGTCTATAATTCCCCATGTCCCTTCTACTACCCTTTTTGAAAATTGGGACCACTGACGCCACCCTCCAGTCCTCTGGAACTTCACTTGTTTTCCATGAGGCCTCAAAAATGGAGGCCAGTGGGGGTGATAGAACCTCTGCCAACTCTCTAAGTACTCTTGGGTGTAACCCATCAGGGCCTGGCGCCTTTGTAATGTCCAATGCCCTGAGGAGCCCCTCGACTACAAGGGGGAGGTGACTCTAATCTGTGCCCCTAAGTCCCCGGCCTCATCTAATCTCCTATGCGGATCTCCGCCATCCTGCTTTGGGGAGAACACAGAGGCAAAATAGTCATTTAGCATCTGTGTCTATTCCCTCATATCAGTCACTGGATCTCCTTCCTCCTTATTTAGTGGTCCCACTACATGTCTCCTCTTCCTCTTCCTATTTACATGCTGAAAGAAGCCCTTTTTGTTGCTCTTGATATTCTTGGCAAGTCTCAGCTCGTAATCAGCCTTAGCCTTGCGAAGAATCCTTCTGCAACGGGCCTCCTCCTCCTGGTATACCCTTTTGTCTATTTGCCCCAGTACCCATTTCCTACAGAGGTTCCTCTTTCCTCTAATCCCTCTAACTACCTCCTTTCGCATCCATGGTGGCACACTCCTCCGCCTCCCCACCTTACCAACTAGAGGTATTGTCAAGGTTTGCACCTCCAAAACTTCTGAGTGCCATCCACCCCTCCTCAACTCGCTTACCTTCCAGTAACCTATCCCAGGAGACTTTCCCCAGTCTGGCCTTCAGTTGTCCAAAGTTGGCCCTCTTGAAGTCCCAGCTTCTAGTGCTCAACCTGCTGCATGTCCCCAGTCCCCTGATCTCAAAGCAAAGGATGGAGTGATCACTCCCATCCAGAGCTCCCCTAATCTGTACTTCAACTATCAGCTCCTCTCTATTGGTCAAGACCAAGTCAAGGATGTCCCCCCCCCCCACACTTGTCTCCTCTCGGACCCTCTGTGTGAAAAACCCTCCCTCTATAGCTTCTAGGAAGTGACGTGACCTGGCTGTCACTGCCGAATGAGTCTCCCAAGTAATATCCGGGAGATTGAAATCTCCCATAATTACTGTGTCTTTTTAGCCATGTATTGTACTTTACACTGCACATGCATTATGATAATGACAACCACGTTAGAATTCAAATAAAGTTTTATAGAATTTGTAGAACAATATTGAGTTACTAAAGACTTCGTAGATTTTTCTGAATAAAGCACTTTTATCCAAGTTTGAAGTGCTCAGATGTTAACTTCTAGAGACTGAAGGAAAAGGAAGTTCCAAGCCAATGTGTAGTCTGCTTAGAGCAGATGGTGAAACTGCCCATGCATATGTGCCCAGTTGATTTTTTTTCATTCTTATACAATCTCTGACCCTCGTGATGCAACTGAACTTCCTCATCCTTGGTGTACAGAGCAGAACGCTGCGGGTGGCAGTGATCTTTGCAGCTGCCGCAGCTGCACCTTGGCCGCATTTCATCTGGGCATCCATGTTCAGCAGTCTAGATGAAGCAGCATGGAGCGGGAGGGAAGTAGGCTGGGACTCCTGGGTACAGTTGAAGGTGCTGGCCCCAGACTCCCACTTCTGGGGCCAATTCACTACCCAGCCCATTGGGTGGGAGTGGGGGGTCAGCCTTTAGTGTCCCAATGCCAGAGTTGGGACTTCAGAACTGGACTCTGAATAATCTTACGCCCCTCTGGTTGAGAACATCAACATAAGGTGGTCATAAGACTGTGCCCTTAGACAATTGTTAGAAGTAGCCCTCTGAGGCAATGTGAAAGGTAACATTGCTCAGGTCAGCAGAGCCTGAAGTCCAATTGATATGGTGGCAGATGAATGAGTAGGTACTCCAGATTTCCTGAAAAGCTGTAGGAAAGGAAACAAATATCAAAGACTGATATTAAGTTAAGAATGTTAAATATGAGCCTGTTCCATCTTTGTTTTGATGAGAAATGATGGATCCTATATATTGTTCACCATGTGGGTAATAGCTGAGCTCCTTCTCCCCCCAGCATGTCTTGAAAGGAATGGATGAAGACTATTTTGCATACCTTGGCTCTGCAAATAAATTTGCTCTTTTCCGATTCTTGTCCTGAAGTTTGCCAGTAACAAATTAGGAAAGTAATTTAAGAAGCACCAATTTAATGTCCTTTAATAAAAAGGCAGTTAGGTTCCTGCAAATCCTTGCAGAGAAATTTCTCTTTTCTCCATGCACAACAATGCTTGGTTTCTGCAGGTGGCTTACAGGGTTAAAACTGTAATATAGAAAGCCTTCATTACTTTAACATTTGTACATTTCAGAAATTCTGTTGGTTATTCATTGTAGAAATGTTCTCTTTAAAATACTACTGAATTTTCATACTGACACCTGTATGATTTCGGGTGTTTTTCTCCTACACAGAAAATGATGTCATAAGCAGGTTTATAGACTGGAGTATCATTTTGAGTAACTGAATACTATTGGAAAATCACTTTTTTATTTAGTTTTGGAGACAATGAATTACAAAAAGTTGCTCCTCCAGGTTTTGTTTGCATTTCGGCTAGAACTTATTAGGCAAGATGGCACCTGAGGTGCCTTCCCCAACGTGGTGCTCTTCAAATATTTTTGGATTTCGGTTCCCCTCAGCGCTAGAAAACATGGACAATGGTGAAGAATGTTGGGATTCATAGTCCAAAACATGCGGGGGGTGGGGGGGTCACCAGGCTAGGGCAGTCTGACCCAAGAGATGCAACTCTATTTTAAATTAAAGGCAGTATTAAACATTAGGCAAGATAAAGATGCACAGGTCACAAATTAATCTGTTTATTAAACACCAAAACCCCACAATTACCTTTTTTTCCCCCAACATGAGCATGGCTCACCTGAAGTGCTTTTGCAATTTACACATAAAAGAACAGTAGCTTTGCTAGAGAACTTCCACTGTAGCTTTGCACAGGAAGAGTTTCTGGTGGGTATGTTGGCTCTAGGAGGAAGCTGTGGCTTGCTGTATCTTTAAATTCCATAAAATCCTACAAGCAGTTTTAATTCCTGTATCTCATTACAGTACAATAAAATATTCAGAAAATTAATATGGCTTCATATGGATTTCTAGTCAAATTATATTCATAAGCTTTAATTGGTATACAGACCTAAGTGTGACTACCCTGAAAGTCTCTGCCCTAGAGTCTTTGCCTATAAAGCCTTAAAAATGCACATTCTGTAAAGTTCTGCAAGAAAACCCATATATTTTCATATATAACAACAATGTGAAAAGTATCCACATTATGCATTATGTATTTTATTCCTTTTTATAACCAGAGAATGGTTATAAAATGATTAAAAATGTGAAATTCTTTTCATTTCCTCATCAATCCCGAGATGCATAAAGAACTCTCTTTTTTTACAGTGTTCAGATGCTATATACAGTGTTTACTGAAGTACTAAGACTTCAGCATATATTCCTACAATTAATATCCTGAGATTAGAGTCAAACA